ATGGAAAATTTTCTTACAGATTGCAGAAAATTAAACAAGTTTTATACATCCTAACCAATTTAAGAAGAAAAAAGAAATTCTCTAAATTTAGTAACCGAATAACAACATATTGCATTTTCTTTAAAAAAAATGTTTTTGTTTCAATGATTTGAACAGATTATTTCTCTATTTATCCCAGTAACTGGAACGAACAATTAAAAATTCTTTAGAATTTTATACATTTGTAAAGTGATTCGTTATGAAAGATGGATAGTGGCTAACAGTGAAATCCAAGACGCGTGTTTCGTCCTATTTGGATCTTGTCAGCTGGATGTACCTGCATTTCAAACTTGATGTTCACTCCACCGCTAACCACTATTCATCTTTGCTTTAAAAAAAAGCTTGTGACTTAAGGCTATATCGAGGCATCCGCACAGGATGCACATATGCCAATATGAGACTGATCAATTGTGGTCCTAAATAACAATGGGAAGATACAAGTAAAACGACGCCAAGTGAATTTGATTTGTTATGAACTTAAATTTCTTTATATGCCAATTAATTAATGTATAAAATTAGACAACAGTTTAGATTTAACATTGAAGTGAAATTCAAATGAATAACAAATTGAATTGTGTTGTAATGAGAAGTGATAAAATAAATTGAATATTAAAATCCATAGTGGTAATATTTTACTGGTATTCTCAAGAAGATAAGGAAGTGGGAGACGCAAAGAGAGGGACAGGAAGAACAGGAGAAGGTGAATGAGAATGATGAAGTGTTCAGATTGCTACAACTTTGGAGAACTGTCACTTGCTACTAGGATCTATGTGTTATATCTGAATGTTATATCTAAATGAATGGAAACTTCCAGGACTAATTTATGGCCTATTATATATATATATATATATATATATATATATATATATATATCCTTTATCACGAGTTTTATTTTAACCCATTAATTACTGTTTCGTAACTTACTGTTCTTAATTTATTTCCAAATTATCACTTAAAGTTACCCTTACTCGCAGCCAATTTTTGGCTTGATCATGTATAATTGTTATTTTACATTTTATGGTGTGATGCGATAAGGTATTTCTGTATATAAATTATGTATGCATGAAATCTAATATTAGTATAGTTGAGGCTTATTACTGTGTTCTATACTCAACGGATAGAGTAAGAAGAGAAACTACTAAATCGAAAATCAATAAAGAGTTAGCAATGAATCAAAGCTGGCTAGCATGTGAGTGGTTAACTCAAGAGCAAAGTCATAGAAATCGTTATTTTGATTGATAGTTTATCATGTAATATTATTAAGTGACTATTAGTCACAACACTGTGAACTGCACAACGTAAGGCAGAACACAAAGATGATAAATGTGGATTTATTTGACACCGAAACTCGATCAAAACAATCCCTGAATACACTGATTTTTCTATGAATTATTTATATTGTTCAACAGTGAGATTTGTATAAAGTGAACTGATTCGTACTTCATATTAATTACTGTGTAAATACAAGCTTATTGTATCCTAAAATTAAACGTCTATAACCAACAGTTATAACTAACTGATTAAATTATGAAATTACGTATTGTGAAAAATGTGAGTTTTATAGCAAAGACATTTGGAAAGAATCAATGTTGTATATGATTAGTACTTCGATCGAGTAGTACTTTGGTCAGCGTGTCAGCGGATATCATTTATGCTTTTCGGTAAAACTATATAGCATAGTGTTTTGTTTTGTTTTCATTAATGTTTTAAAATTACTTACTATATTAGTTAATAGAGTACTTAAACAATTTTTTTTCAGTCATCAAAGATATAGTTTGCATTGTTAATAAAAAATCCTTAATAAGTACATAAGAGTTTTCACAAGTTGAAATCATGAGTCAATTGAAGCTAGACCACCATGGAGAACCTGGAAGCACTGGACGACCGTTTCGTCCTGGTATGGGACTCCTCAGCAGTGCGCATCCCATTGACTCATGATTTCAACTTGTGAAATTTCTAAAAAATCTCCACAAAACCCATTCTAACATAAGAGTTTTGTCAAGCAAATGTGTTTCATCAGCAATTTAATAACTAAACAATCCTGTGTGAATTGTTCACTTTAATATTCAGTGATTTATCTTTTAGTCTGTAAGTCTTGAATCATTCTTTTAATGACCTCTATGAAGATTTCATATCATTGTAAGATAATTACTATTATGAATTGATATCAGCAGGAAAACCATTGAAAGCCAGTACTCAAAGGGTTTAAGCACCACCATCCACATCTCAACAGCAGTTCAAACTCAAATCATATCACAAAGATAAACTTAAGACTTTCCACTTCAGCGGTAAGTATCATGGCATTATATCACTGAGCTCAAGGTGAATGAGTAACATTATTTTGCTTAAGTCAATTTTTATGCAATTCTCACTTAATAAAACAGACGAGTCATCTCTCACTCTCCCTCTGTGGTTAATCCAACAGTAATATAGTAAGATTCCGAATGAGGCTTTAGTCTGATGACCGATATTATCCTCAATATCTCCGATGTTTAATTTCTGTATTGTTTTGGGAACCTTCAACCACATTTTCATCTATTTAATGGATAAAGGTTGTATAGTAAAATGATATTACCACTAGGAATTTCACTTTAGGTGCATGAAGTAATGCACAACTGTCTTCTGTGGAAATGTTGATGTAGCGTAGATAACACGTCAAATAAACACAAACATAGTGGTCATAATGACTAATTAAAATGTTTAATATAAAGTACACTCCAGTATGTAGTATCTACTTGTCAAATGAACTGAAGAATTATTGAAAGGATTGGATTTATTGGAGTCAGACATTGACACCGTTGAATAACAACTCAATAGTTCAGATTTTAGGTATTTGTGGGCGAGACCGAGTGTCCCGGATTCAATTTCCACATGTGGGATCGTGGATGCGTACTGTTGAGTAGTCACATACTATGATGAAACGGACGTCCAGTGATTCCAGGTTTTTAATGGTGATCTAACTTAGATCGATTCAGCATTGCTATGAAATGATATTTATTATTATCGTTATCATCATATCATAAAATACAAAAGGAAACCGACGCGTTGCTTAAAACCTTCATAAGTAGTATGTAGGTATACAGTGAATATAAAACTTGTACACGACTAACGTATGGATAGTGTTTGTTTGATTGAAATCAGTGTTGTTATTACATTTTTAAATTCCAAGAAAAGGGTGACGATTTTATACTTACAAATAGAGAAAGAAAAACAGTCCAATGATTTGATATGAATCATTCAAAGTAAAAGAAAATAATCAGATTGAATTTACTGCACAATTTAAGAAATCAGTCAGCCAGTCGATCAGTCTGTTTATCAGTTACAAGCAACGTAGAGCCCTGGGAGAATGTGTTATGTTTCGAGTTGTGAAAGAACATCAGCATAGCGCGATGAAAACACTAAGATAAACATAAAGATTCTCTAAATATGATAGTTAATTTTATAAAAAACCATTAATATGTTGTTGACGTTCCTGATTGTGAAAGTTAATACAATCCACATAAACTAATTATAGAGTTTCCAAGTTGATATTTATCCGGCTTCACTCTATATGTACGGGATTATTAAATTAACCCAGCCAGTTTATGAGTCTATGACCACAGTGAAATAGATTGCATAACTACGCATAAATGGTAAAATATACAAACTAATAATAGGAAAACAAGTGTACTAGTAGCGACAAGAACAGTAAAATATCAAGTTTTAATCAATAGTTCCACACAAGGTGTAGGTCAAAGTTGGATAAAACCAATTAGAATTACACAATAAGTGTGTAAATGATCACATAGTGAAGTATGTGGACGGAGGATATAAAATAGGGTCATAGGTTCGAATCTTTAATGTCTCTGTGATATGTAGTAGACAGTATAGATCTCTATTAGGAAATAATAAAGGTAAATAATAGATCATTACAACCATCATCAAAAGGATACAAGTGCTTATAAACATTTGTCTATACAAGATATTCCAAATCCGTTGGCCTGACATCATCAGCAACGACCTATTGTGGCAGAGAACAAACTAGATTCCACGCTCTTGGTGGATAGGACACACATTGAAGAAAATGCATCGCAAAGCAAGCCCTAACCTGAAATCCTCTGGGCAAAAGGAATCATATGACCACTGCTAATCAGGTTTGTTTAGATAGAGCTATGTTTATTTTTTAACTTTACCCTTTCAAAACCACACAAGAAGATGTTCTCTTATTCGTTGGTAGGTTCACATTAAAGAAGTAAACTCAGATACTTTATCTTTTGTTTAAATACAAATCATTGGTTCAAAAGAAACCATCACTGTAAAATCAGCTGCGTAAAATGTCTTTTATTCACGTATATTACAATAAAGCCTTACGAAGATCTAATTAGAAACAGTATTGTTTGCTTATATGTATTGTTCTAATAGTATATATGTGATAAATAGATTACAGTGTTACTCAAGAAATTTTTTGCAAGTTCATTTGTCTTTTCGTTATCAAGTTATTTAATCATTCAAATAGTTTTTAACTAATCAAATAAAATAGAGTGTGGAAATGGTGGTAAAAAAAACTGTAACATTCGAAGAAGAGTCCAACTGATGACACACAATCGATAGGAAAATAGTAAAGAGGGGAGAGTTAAAGAGTATTACACAATGAAAATTTGTAAAAATTTCAAATGAAAAGTTTGCATTCCTTTGTGTTTCTCTAAAGTTAAATATGTTATTTCAGATATTTAGTAAATAATGTAATTATCAAAGAGTTGCTGAGCTATTTAAGCCGTTTCACAGATTGTGTCTCATTAATTAACATCGAGGTAAAGTGCACGGAATATCAAGTCACTTAGGATGCGGAATAAAAATCCATAAACGGCACCAAATCTTTTTTACATTACCGATGCATCTATCCGTTGGGTGTCAAGAAAACATAAAACGTAAGTTCAAGGTTCCCGATAAACTATTCTACATCTGTCCAACTCTTCCAATTTTCAAAGAAAATTAGACTGATCATCAGTAGCTTCATGAATTCCTAGTTTTTCATAATTATAGATACATGTTCATTTTTGTATTTGTTGTTTGAATCTTCACATTTAAGTTTATGACTACAATTGATCAGTCTCTTATTGGTATATGTGCATTATGTGCGGATTGCCTCGATATTGCCTAAAGTCACAAGCATTGCTAGCCACCAGCATGTGTTTTAATTAATTCATTTTTAATGCATTATTGGTGTACATTATTTTCCTTAAAAAGCATGCACTATACACACTCCTAAGCCATCTATACATTACCAACAGCTCATTACATTATAGTGACCCACGTGCAATTGAGTTTAGTTTAGTCAAGGCCTTTTGTTGACCTATTTAATGGACAAAGTCATCCATGATATAACAACTTGTTGTACTATCTTTATTATTATGCTTGTATGAAATACATACGCTTGAACATTGTTTAGCGCCTACGCATGTATTCATTCTGCTAGCTTCATTATTAACTGCTTAATCTATTCGCTGACTCATCCATTTTCCTATACATATATATATGTGTACATTTGCATCCATTCACTACTACTACTTGCTACTGCTACAATCGTAGTTCGCTTGCTCATTCATTTTTGCCTCTCTGCTGTCTGGTCCGAATTATCTACTAAATAAACTGTAGTAGCTGCTTCTTTTTGCCTTCTGATTTCAAACATCGTTGAAGATTATACGATAACGGTTCGAGGGCGATTAATTATCGAAGCACAGCCACTACAACATTATTAAAAACTCACTATAAGGTATAATCTAGCAATCTCTGCTCTTCGAGTAACCAAAAGGGTTTTTTAAATAGTAGTTGGTGACCAAACATCCTAAGAAAATCGAAGCTAACTGTCACGTTATCAGTGTTAAAATAATGAGTTATATCCAATACTTATGACTACATTTCTACTCATTTAATTGGTGAGTGTTGCATATCCTAGTATAATTCTCATTAAAGTTTGGAGGTATACAACAACAATGTGTTATGAACATGTCAATGTAGCACAGCCAAACATGATGAATAAAACACTCAAATATAATGAGATTAAAGGCTCAAAATAAAATCTCTAATATGTATTACTTATCTCCATTTACTGAACAGATAAAATGTTTCATATTGTTAAATATTACACATTACTTCAATAATAAAAACAAATGACTGGTTAACCCAAATCCCCAAGGTATTACATTTTATCACCTACTCATCAGGAAAAAAACTTTTCCTTATACAAATCATAATATGAAATTAAAGTTCAGTTTGTCAACACACACACACACACATGCACACACATATGCATGGAAACACATACAAAAAAACAAATTAAACACAACAACAACAAAAAACTCACCTTCATTTAATAAGGAATAATCCTCGTCAAAATTCATTATCATATTATTATTCTTTTGAATATTTTGGCATAATTTTTCAAATACATAATGTTCACGATCAATACGTCCTCTTGTTACTAATTGATGATTATCAATAATTTGAAAATGTTGATTTTCATTTAAGATATTTAATATCAGTGAAGTCTTTGATGTATTTTTCGGTGTATAATGATCATAAAGAAACATTAAATCACATACAAATGTACTAATCAGGATTTCTTCTATAATAATACATTTATTATTATTATTATTACTATTATATACATCCTTATTATGATTGTCGTTTGGTCGACTTTCATCAGCTGCTATTATAAAGTAATGTAATATACTTGTTAAAAAGATTGAATGAACTATTGTAAACATTGAAATGATTATGAAATAATGAATATAAAATGTGTACATAATTTATATTGATTAAAGAACAGTGTTATTTCAAAGAAGAATGGAATAAAGTTGATTTGTTTCAGTGTCATTTTATTCCCAGGAATTATAAAGAGAATTTCAATGAAGAACAAGAAAAGAGGAGAAAAGAAAAGAAAAACTATCATGTTATTCATGAATTAGACATATTCTTAATTTTTTTTACACTTATCCAATGGTGTATTAAGTGGTACATAAAAGTGAGGTATATCTATTTTTAATTCCAAACAAAAGAATAGTGTTAGTTGTTTCTAAGTAATTTATCTTTTGATATGTCTAATCACAAATGAATTACAAATCATCCAGTCAGTATTCATTAACCTGGTTACTTGTTGGTTGTAAACACATACACACATATGCATGGAGAGAAAGTGTGTGTGTGTGAGAGAGAGAGAGAGAGACGTATATATGCACTTACGTATATACAAGTTCGGGAAATCAGTAAACTTGACTCACAATGACATTTTCAATTGACTCAGGAATGATAATGATTATATTGTTCCATATATAATTATTATTAACATACTTTCAGATGTGTGAATATGACAATTATGTACAAACGAGTATTAATGAGATGTGTGTTATTTTCTGTGTGTGCACACGCCATATATACTTATACACATATATATATACTAACACAAATACATACATTACATATATTGTATGAGTCTTCTAAAAAATCATGCCAACTATTTCCCAAAATTATTTTTATTCTATTTTGAAAACTACACACTTCACGAAATCAACCGAACTATATATATATATATATATATATATATATATATATATATATATATATATATATATATATATATATTGGCTAGAGATGTCCGTTCATCAATTTTTATACTGAGAAAAAAGGAATGAGATAAAGTAAATGCCGTTATATTATGATTTTGGCGAGGTTGTATGCATGGTAGAGAAGCATTCGTCAGTTACTTTTGGTCTCTAATATACTAGTTGATTGGATAAAGAAACAACAGTTGATCAGGTTATCTATGTGAATAGATAAATGAGCCTATAATGTTAACCTATGATATATATATATATATATATATATATATATATATATATATATATATATATATATATATATAATTAAAGTGCCGTCGGTGTTGGAAAGATAAATTTAGTGCACATGAACACACTAACTCCTTCATGAATGCACTGGGCTAGTAGTAGTAGTAGTAGTATTTATAGTTCACTAAAATTTGCCTCATCATTTGTACAAATTACTCATTATTTTATTAGCTTTTCCATTACAGTGGATAAAACATAATTCTCTTCATCGCTGGGATCTTAAGGTAGGATTTATGAGCCACTAACATTTGGATATAAATATATACATGTGTGTTGTATACTTGGTTTATGGTTACAGTAGAATCTAGGACATCCGTTTCATCTCATTTGAGACTCACCAGCTAGATATTCCTGTACTCAGTATCGCAATGTTTAAAATGAGATTCGAATTCAGCCATTGAGTTCAGATAGTTATTGACTTGTTCAGCAGGTATGAATTTATTTGTAAATGTTTTTACTTACCCTTTATTGATATAATGGACTGTAATTGATCAGTCCCTATTTTCGTATGTAAATCCAGTGTGTATTGTCTCGATATCGCTACTGAGATATAAGTTTTTAGAAAATTGAAATCTTGAACACATACATGCGTAGACACGATACAACAGAAGGAATAAAGATAGTCTGTCTACAGTGTAGAGGAATTCTATTAAAGCAATGAAACTAGTATGGCCTATATGTTCTAAACTATATGAACTACTTTCTAGTCCTACTGTGCAACTAGATGAGAACGTATTTGGATGACAGTGATGAGTCCCTACAAAATTCGAATCATCGATGTACTGTTCCTATAGACAGCGAGAAAGATCTCGTCACCAAAATATAAGTCGTTCTGTACAGTCGAATTACACACCGGTATGCAAAATATTTATCAATGAATTACCAAATCTGTTCTTTTAGGTCATTCACTAACCAAAAAGATTGTCTAATTAACATGCTCCCTTAATACAGAACATATGGATTCATGGATTATTGATCAGTCAGTTATAAAATGAAATAACGAACGATCATTTTATATTGAGATATACACTTTCTGAAATCATAATTTTTCATGAAAACCACCCATAGTGGCTACACAAAGACGTAGTTTATTAGGAAATCGAGTTTCTTTATAGGTATGTGAATGATTCAAATGGATGCATCTTGCAAATCTTTGGAATACCCAATGATTTACGAACTGCTGATGCATCTTTTGTCGGAGAGGGAAAGTAAGAGTCAAATGCGAATATTTATGAAATCATGCACCTTTGATTCTAGAAGCAACAGTTGAACAATAGATACTGACATACTGTTAGATATGAAGTTTGATACGATCATCGAATCGAGAACTATCATGTTCCAAATCAAACTATTACTAACATGTATAAAGACAATAGATTTAACTACCACAAAGTTATTTCCGAGAGGACCAAGAAAGTCATCATAACAAATTTATCAAACACCATGTGACGGAAAAACTCATCATCAAAATAAATGCTTTTCTAGGGGGCAGCTGATCAACTGGGTGTAGATAAATTATATTTTCCTATATATATTATTTAATGTATATAAGATAGATTACTAGATCATTACATAAACTACGAGGTGTGATCATTGATATAAAGGTTTTCATTATTCTTCCAACCAACCATTACTTTGATTTTTTCTGAGGAAGATAACTCCCCTGTTACGTAACAAAACGCCAGGAGATCCCAGCGGCAACATAACAGATTATGAAACTAGATGCCGGAAGTTTGAGCTCCACAAGTTTTCAGGAATACTTTTCCGACGACTGCCAACTTACACGAAACTTTGGTTCGGAAAAATATAGTGCCGTCTATCTCCATCCTTCTACCGACTCAAATTAAAACCTAAATATCATGGCCAATTATTTCAAACTTTATTCGATATTTTTTATCGAGAATAATATTATTATGGACGATATTGTATGTATCGAAAAAAGAAATGACAGAAAAGAAAAGGTTTCCAGAAAAGTTTCATTATCCAGGTTTCCTACCGTGGTTCCGCAAAAATAACGAACTTGATATAACTTCATAAAGTGACAGATCCTATCTAGTACTGTCCTGAAAAATATATTGAAGTAGGATTCGAAGACGTATTTATTGTAAAATTTTATAATTATTCTAGCATAAATATACTTTACCGACGACTTTTGGCGGATCGTAGAATGATCTTGAGATAATGAAGCCAATTTTAAGTCATCTAGGATGCAGATGATATGAAGGAATAATTTATTACATAAAAATCTTAAACAAAATGTAAAAATTAGGATTGGGAGTTGTGATCTTTAGTGTGGGTCAGAATAGGAGGATCCTTTACAGTCATATTGATTTATCTCACATGTTATATAAGTACAAACATGGAAGCACTGAACAACTGATTTGTCCTAATAATGGGACTTCTTCGAAGTATGCATTCACAGCACCCCGTTTGAATGAACTTATAAATTTCAGGTCTTGTAACAAACGCCTAACAATGAGAACTACTAGTTTAATGGGTTTGATGGTGCAATTTCAAATTCAATCAACGATGATCATTCATTGCAGTTGATTACGATTAGTTCACTCCTGATATATCTGAACTTCATTAGCTATCACTTGTTACTAGCTGTTCAGGAACACCTTTAAAAAAGTTGACAGAGAGTTGATTGTCATAGTCTAGTTGAAAAAGTTTTATACAAAGATTAGTGTAATTTATAGATTCTATTCTTTACAGATTGATCTATTTACTGGTCACACCCTGCCTAATGTATTGAATTTGATAGGGTGAAAAAAACTTTCCCTCTCTCGCCAATATTAACAAAAATAACTTATTATTATTATTATACACCTTTGTACTATAAATAGATGTAAAAGTACTTGTATATTCTGAAACATTTTATCCATTGAACAGTTTGACAACAAGTGTACGCATATATTTCAACAATAAGTACACGATTCAATTTAATGTTTAACACATTTCATGTCATCTATGGATCAGATAATATAATATTTACTTGAGTAGTTGTTTAGAAAGAGATAGAGAGAGGAAAAAACACATGGAGAAGTCCCTATAAATACCATATTGATGTCGGGTTGTGAAAAGATTTAAAAACATCATTTGAATTGTGCAGTAATTATTATTTCCCTTTGATCAATCAGAAAATTATGCAATTTTAAATATAACCAAATTCAAAATAGTTTTATTTAGACCATTTTTGTTCATCAGTCTATTTAAAATTTTCTAGATAGTCATCGAAGGTGAAAACTCTATTTATTGAATAACTTTTTTTAAAATATTTCAATTGTATCAGAAGGGGTTTTGTGGAGATTGTAGTAATTTCAATAGTTGAGATCATGAGTCAATTGAAGCTAGATCACCATGGAAAACCTGGGAGCTCTGGGCGGCCGTTTCTTCCTATAATGGAACTTCTCACCAGTGCGCATCTACGATCGCGCCTCACGAAATTCAAACCGAGGACCTATCATTCTGGCGCGTGAGCGCTTAAACACTAGACCACTGAGCTGGCCGGTATCCAACGGTGTTAATGTCGAATTTCAACTAATCCACGAAATTGAGCGACACATTCACCATTGTCAACAGTGTGTAACTATCTCACAGTAGACCTGATTGAACTCCACTGGTCACTGCTTCTCACTAGACTCACGATGTCAACCATTGAAATTACTATAATATCCACAAAACCCCTCCTGATATTAACCAATTTATTCTTTAATACAAAATTACAGAATATCTTGATAAAATATGAGAACTATACATTAACTATTTGATTTGCAAATTATTCATCAATTGTACTTTACATTCTATATGATTCTTCTGAATCACAATTCATTTCCGTGTTCTTCAACTTGATCTTCTTAGCC